ATACAGCGCCTGCGCGATCCTCCAGGAGCAGCTGGAGCATTGCACAGACGCTAGTACGCATGCATGCCGAACCGGTTGGAACGGGGCGAGAAACCCACCCCTGATGTAGTTATATAGAAGATAAACAGCTTTACTTTTTTTGCAACCACTTCCTCTCCAATCTCTTTGCTTTGCAAAGGGGTGGAAAAAAACACAGGGCAGCCAAGGATAGTGCACACTGACTATAAAGGCTATCGTGTGATTGAGGGACACTGAGAAAATTGCAAATGGTCATAAATCGGCTGTAAAGTTATTTTTCAACACTGTCATAACTTCAAATAGTCACATAACAAGTGGCCAGTAAATAAGGATTATGTGTAATAGTACTATTTAAATACAGTTTTTCTGAACTTTTATAGAAGGAAATCCTGTAAGAATATGGATTGTTTCCCTTCCCGTCTTGGAAAGTAAAATATTCTTTTTCTACCTTCCAGCACCAAATGGGTAGTTGAGCCTATTCTGAAATTCTGTTTTGGTTAGCTGGTGGGAGACTAAGTAGACTAACTCACCTCTTATCTTAGAAGGGGGATTTTTCTTTCGTAGATGCAACAATTTTCATTTTGTTTCGTTTCATTTCATGCGTCCAGAACAAGAAAGCAGCATGAAAGAACAACGCTTAAAACAATAAACATAAATCAAAACAGGAAATTTAAAATATATTATTATCTGGAGTAGTTGCCAGAGAAATTAATGTCAGCTAAGCCTCTCTTGATAATTAGTAATTATCTACCACCACTTGGAAGATCCCACTGCTGGCCACTGCATTATGAACCAGATCTACTGTGGGGGTCACAAGCTGGAATTTTCCAGCTGAGCTTAATTAATATAGACATTAACCATATTCATGTTGTGATAGTAGCCATATTGATCCATCAAACAATAGTAAAAACTCCATAGTTTGGGATACTGGTAGACTGAGTGCATTCATCAGCAATTGCTGCTGAGTTCATCTAACATTCAGATTCAAAGTTAAGATGGCTGCCCCCGAGCTTTAAAAACAGAAAGACATAAGCCGATCTGTTTCTCAGTTGTAACAAGGTACAAAGTCTCCTTTATTTATTAGAGGTCAGGAAAGAAAGAAAACTGAATAGACATGGAAGGAAATTAACGGCAAGGGCATGATGATGTCATCATGTAAATGCTGCAACGTTCTTAGATGTTGTGACATTAATTCACATTGCCTATCTGTAACATCGGAGAATAACTCTGAATGTTTTGTTTAAAGACAGTAATCTAAGGAAAACTGTGAAATATTATCTAGTAGTTTGAAAGGATTAACCCTCTGAAAAGGTTAATTGGTATTGTCAGTGTCAAACAGACAACTGATTAAGTTTCACTGTTCCAAACATTTTGTGTACTCCTCACGCTACAGTCATTAAAGCGACTGTCTTGATAGGACCTGGATTAGACTGGTTTTCCCTATTTAAATTGAAAATTGTACTCTCTGTTATCAGTATACAATTCAGTGTTTTAAACTTGACTTTTTCTTGTGTTCACTAATCCTGATTGCAGGTGCTTTGGAATGCTGCTAAGTCCAGGTCGAAACGTCAAAAACAGTGACATGCACTTACTGGATATGGTAATACTTCTCTAGTGTAACTGGCAAAAGCTTATGTGATAACATTCATTTTGAATTTAATGACTCTGTCCAAAAAAATATCCATTGTTCTCATCCCAAATGTAGCCTTCTGGAATCAGAATTGGAAATACTTTTATTTCTTTTTCATGAAGGCAGAAAATGGTTATGCTTCTAGAATATTAATTATTATTAATCAACAACTCCAACACCCCAACATCTAAAACTAGGCACGCACGTACCCAAATTCCTCCAGGTTCATCGCTACAGACCTTAAATTAGTGGTGGGATTCAGCCAGTTCGCACCTATTAGGGAGAACCGGTTGGTAACTTTCTAAGTAGTTCAGAGAACCGATTGTTGGAAGAAATCTCCTTTTTTTTTTTCCCCCCCC